AAAATTGTGAAGTATGCGAAACAAAGAAATATTTATAAAAAAATTTGCGAAATATTATATAAAGCACTTTCGTTAACTTTATTAAAGTACAAAAAATTACAAAATTTCATGACTTATTATATTAAAATTAATTTTTATAAATCTTCATTATATTAAAAAAATCTTCATTATAAATAAATACGTTATACAAAGAGGAATTTATATAATGCATGTTCACATACTTAAATTCGTTAAACATAATATGAATTTTATTTTAATAAATTCAGTATACAATGAATTCTTAATATAACGAATTTTAGGATTTGAATATCAACTTCGTTATAAGTTTATAACAAATTTTTTAAAGAATTTAATTGGCTAATTATCTATAGTAAGGTAATTTTAAAATATTTGATTAAAAATTCGCTATATTAAGCATTTGCTATATCAAGGTTTGACTGTAGTAAGATTTTTTCAATATTTAAAATTTTGTTTCACACTGTAGATCTGTTATATCATAAAATTCATTATATTAAAATTCGTTATAAAAAGAATTAACTATATTTTTAAAGTTAGAGTGTTATAAAGCTTAGCAATTTTTCGTTAACGAAAAATTTATTACTAATAAAAGTAGCTCAATATTTATTTAATTGCTATAAAAATTAGTATTTAAAACTTTAAATTAAGATAAATTCTTATATAAAATTTCAGTATAGATTATTATATAAAATATCATAAAATGAATATTAATATTTTTACCAAAAGTGATCGATATTATACAGGTTCTCTTAAAATCAACTCTCTATGTCAATTCCTGACACTTCTACTAACTGATATTATATTATAAAAAAAAAAAAAAACTTAAATTTAAATCCAAAAAAATTAAAATAAAAAATTCCTATTTACTTCTATTATATAAAGTTTTTTAATTTATAAGAAAATTATAGGATTTATAAAAATATTAAATATAAAAATTAAAAAATTAAAATAAAATTAAATTCAAAAAATAATTTAAAAATAAAAAAAATCTGTATTTACTTTTGTTATAAAAAGTTTCTTAATTTATTATAAAAAAGTTATAGAATTTATGATAAATACTAAATATAAAAATTTTAAAAATAACAATAAAAAATTAAAGTTTAAAATAATTTTAAAAAATAAAAAAAAATTAGCATTCACTTTTTCTATAAAAAATTCTTTGATTAGTTAAAAAAATTAAAAAAAAAAAAAATAGATTAATAATTATAATTATATATTAAATATAAAAATTAAATATTAAATTAGATTTATCTAAAAAAAAAATAAAAATATATATATTATTATAAATTAAGAAATTATAAATAAATAGAATCTAAAAAAAATAATTAAAAAATAAAATAAATACATAAATAAATAAAAAATAAATAAATATTTATTTCAAATTTTTCTTTATTAAAAATAAATTTAAATTAAAAACAAGTATAATTTATATTAAAACATAAAAAAACATAAATTTTAATTTATTTATCTTATTTACCTTTATTTATTTATTAATTAAAGTTACTATTGTTTTATTTTTTTTAAAAAAAAAATTTTATTTTTTAGAATTATTTGAATTATTTGCTATGAAAAGTATTATACAAATATTTATTTAAAGTATCTGTAGATAAATTTTCTTTCTAAAAAATTTTAATTGTATTTTTTTTTTGGGAATTCTAAAATTATATAAATAAAAAAGCAAGTTAAAAATAAAAAAATCAATTTTTTAAATAAAAAAAATTTGTATTTTTCAAGATGCTTGCTTAGCCTTTTCAATAAAAATAAAGATTAGATTAAAAAGAAAATTTTTTAAAAAAAAAGAAAAAATAATAATTACCCTTAAAAAAAGATATTATAATACTTTTTAAGTAATTTAAAATCAAGTAATATTTTAAAAAATAATCTCACAATAAAATTAAGAAAAATTAATTATTTAATTAAAAAAAAATAGTAAAGTTTATCTTTTAAAAAAATACTGCTTTTTTTTTTCAAGGAAATTTTAAAAATAATCTAATTTAACAAAAATATTATTACTGAATTAAATAAAGTAAAAAATAATTATGCTAACATTTAAAAAAATAAATTGTTATACAGTCCAGTGAATTTTTAAAAAATTGATTAAGTAACCTTTATACCACAAATAATTCTGAAATAAATTAAAATTAAAGTAAAAAAAATAAAATTAAAAAAATAATCACTATCTTTAAATAAAAAGTTATCTTTCTAAAGTCAAACAATTGTAAAAATAAATTATTAAAGTATAAACAGATAAAAAGTATTTTTAAAGATAAATAAAATAAAGAGAATTTTTTAGAAAAATATTTTTTATTGAAAGTTATTATGTTTTATCCTAATTGTAAAGATATATAAAAAAAAAGGTTGTTATGTTCTATCTTACTATAAAATGCTAAAAACAATTTCTTTTTAGATTTACACTTATAAAAATGAATTAAATGAATGCAAATCTAACATTAATAGATTAACAAAATATCTAATATGTAGAATATCATTATTTTTAACAATAAAGGTATTCCTAACTTTTGGAATAAAGAAATAATGGAAATTATTGTTTTTTAATAATTATTTTTTAAAAATAAATGCTGTCTTTGACTTTTGGAATAGACTTTATTATAAAAAATAAAGATTTTTTATTTTTTTTTAATAATAAATACTATTTCTGACTTTTGGATGGACTTTATTATTAAATAAATAAAGATTTTTTATTTTTTTAATAATAAATACTATGATTTTCAGAATAGACTTTATTATTATTAAAAAGTATATATATAATTTTTTAATAAACTTTAATTATAAATGCAGTTTCTAACTTTCAGAATGGATTATTATTTCAAATCTGTCAAATCAGATCTAAATCCAATCTGAATCCATCAGATTTAAATTCAAAACTAATTTAAATCTAACAGATCAAATCAAATCTAAATCTAAATCTGCATCTAATTTAAATCTGATAAATCTGATTCAATCTAATTTATCATATCTTGATCAGATTCAGATTGAATCAGATTTTTTTGTAAAACACTATTTCAGGCAACTTTACAGATAATGCAATACTTATTCATTATAAATCAATTAACTATAGGTTCTAAACTTAATTAGTTCACTATAAGTGATTTTATATATTATTTTTACTTTTTATCAGGAAGATATAAATTTAGACAAAGTAAACTTATATCATTTTTATTGGTAGCTACTATTACACTATATAGATATCATTATGATTATCATATTAACAAATTTGTGATTTGTAATATATATAGTTTGTATGTATCCCATGAAATTTATTTTTTAGTATTGAACTGGTAAATCCTATAATAAATTAATACCATAATTAACTAAGATAGGACTGCCAGTTCTTTTTTTTAAAAAATTATAAAAAAATAAATTATTATAATATATGTATAAAATTATTAATTACATATACAAACCTTATAAAAAGTATATTATTTTCTTTAAATTTCTTATAAGGCTAATTTATATAATTTTTTAAAATATTTCTATTTGATTGAATATTTATTATATTTATCTAAAATTTATCCTTAACCTAAATAATCTAATTTTAATTTACTGATAATATATTACTTGTAAATGTTGAGATATATTATATACAGTATTTCTTAACACAGAATTTATTTTATAATTTGCAATTAATTTTAAATAATATCTATTATGTTATTTATTTAAAGTAATTAGGTTTTAAAAACTATATTACTTAATATTAACTATTACTCTTTTACAAATATATTAATTAAATAATAATTTTATGTTTTTTAATTATTTCAATCATTTGATATACAAGTTAAAATTTGATCTGGTTAAAGTATTGATTGATTTATTTTGTATTCAAATTCAAATAATTTTGTTTATTTAATTATAGTTACTTTAAAAAAATTTTTTTTTGACTAATTTTAATTATTCATTATTTTCCTAGAATTTTTTGAACAAAAATACATTACTTATCTTTATATTGAATAAAAGAAGAAACATATTATTTCACAGTTTTAAGTAATAATTTTAATTAGAACTTTCTATTTCATAAACATGAAGACTAAATTTATCTATATAGTTAAAACTTTACATATGCAAACAGCTCATTAATAATTTGTTTCAAGTCTAAATATAAGCTGATATCAGCATTTTGCTGAAACTTGAACCATCTGCTAATATAGTAAAGTTTGCTACTTTCATAATTACTATTAATTCCTTCACTTTCATAACAAAAATAGGACAAAGGTTTATCCTTTTTACAACTCATAATGTAAATTACTGCTGTTTAAACTTAACTTGAATCTTCATTTCAACACAAATAGTAGGTTAAATATATTGTATTATCAGTAGCTTTATGTAGTTAACTTTGCTACCATTATTGTGTAAATGCAAGTGGTGCAATGACTAGAGAACCACAAGAAAGTTGCACTAAACTTTTATGATGATATGATCTAAAAAAGAAAAATTAAAATTAACTATTAAGTTATAAAAGAAAAAAAGAACAAAAAATAAATATCATAAAATATACCTAGACCTGAAAGCCTTCAAATATCCTGAAAACCTTTAATATTACAAAATTTACTGAAGAGCTAGCTTCGATCCTTAAAAAGAAATAACATTGTTTCGATCCTAAAATAAAAAAAAAAAATAGAAAAATATTCCCAAACATCTGCCACACTATGAAATCAACTTAACTAAAAATCTAGTTCTGATCCTAAAAAAAAATAAGGAAAATTAATGGTAGATAATCATGAAGATACAAAAAAAATTAGAAAAAATAAAATAATATTTCAAAATCCACCATACTACGATAATAAACTTACTTAAAAAGCTATTTATGATCATAAAAAAAAAAAAAGCCAGAAATATCATGAAAATCTAGCACGCTATGAAACTGATCCAATAAGCTAAGTTTCGATTCTAAAAAGAAATAAAGTCAGAAAAAAAGAAAAAAATATCCTAAACATATATAACGAAACGTACCTAAGAAGCTAATTTTAAGTTATCTTTGGCTTCTTTATTGCCACCAGCCATTTTTGGAATACTCCATGAATAATTCTGAGTATTATATGAATAACTAATAATGTTCCTCCAATATTCTTATAAGTTAATCCACAAAATAAAAACAATGTTTTATTATTTGTGCTACCATTAACGGATGCAGCAGCAACATATGCTAGAACTATGACACTTCATGCCGCATGCCACAATTTATTTTGAGTAATAAATGGAACAGGGAAGTAAATATAAAAATTCTTTGCTAATTTCATCATTTGCTCACCTAAAAAATATAATTTATCGTCTTTAAGTGTATCGGTGTGTATTGGATTGAAAGCAGTTGTTTGGCAACCTACTTCAATTAATAATTTAGTTAACATATTATTATTATATATGGAATTATTCTTTAATACGTAATTATTTATTAAAAAAAACAAAAAAACTTATAACATTTTAAAGTACAATTATTAGCAATGCACATGTAGTTTGGCAAAAGATAATTATTTAAAATTTAGATTTTCAATAAACAATCTAATCTATGACGCTGTTAATAAAATAAGTTATGTCGAGATAAAAATTATTTTTTGATTTTCGTATATTTTTAAATTAGATGAACTGTATGTAAATCACATAATTTTCTGAAATTTATCTTTCCGCATAAATTTATGTCAAGAATAAACGAAAATTTATTTTTTTTTAAAAAAAATCTTTAGGATATTGCCTATATTTATGAAAAAAAGGTTTCTTCAAATTAATGAATATAAAGAGTTTGAATTATTTAAACTACAAATAGCAAATTTTATTTTATACTTTTCCATAACGTAGAGTTTTAAACTTTATCCGTAAAAATAAAAATTTTGTTATTGCTTCTTTGATTTTATTACATTTTAATATATAATTTTATTATTTATGTATACTAATTAAAGAATTATGGCAAATAAAATAAAGTTGAAATTCATTTTTATTTTCGAAACAAAACTTTAAGCCGCCTAGGTTAGCGATATTAAATATTAGTATCAGTCCCAAATGATACCACTTAAAGAACCTTCATGGGGCGCATCGCTATCAACTTCATACCCCACATGAAGGATGCCGGATAATCAATGGATTCCAATGATGCTTCGGTTTTTCGGGCCAATAATGTTCTGAGGAAATCTTAAAATTTCCGACACAACATTGGGGTTGAACCGCAGAACTGAGTCGTTCATAGGGTTGGACTGACGTCTTAACCAAATGACTATCAGAACTACGATTCATAAATTATACAAATGTACTTCATCTTATTCTAAATTTGATGTATCGATAGTTTAAATATTGATATTTTTATCATATCGATGTATCACCAAATATTGTCGGGTATTTAATACTATCCAGTACTAATTTCCGCTTTTCCTCTGTTAAGGATTGCAGCAAATGGACTTATTTCTAGCTATTATGAATCACTGTATTACCGAAATTCTCCTTTTTTATATAAATACTCATACTCCCTGATTTTTTTATGTATCCTTAGCTTTTGAAACTTTCGCGTATTTGTTATATAAAGTGTCACAATGAACAGCAACTTATCTAACTCTATTGTTGTTAAAATCTTTATGCCAGTTCCTCATTTAAGAAAGAAATGGACACGAAGCAATGTAACTTTTAAATGGTTTTTATGAAAAATAGTAAAAGAAATTTTCTTAAATATTTTTCACTTTAGATCTGGAAATTTATCGAAAAAATGATGAGAAAGACAAGAAGGGAGAGGGATTTACAACAAATATCTTATACCATACAGGTAAGCCTCAAAATGCTTATTTTACATTTCATCAATGGATGCTGATGTTGTCCTTTTCTTCAATTTGTATTAGAATGAACAGTCATAATATTTTTCCTACCGACCTCAATGGAACGCCGATACCGATGTTAGTGGGATCACAATGACCTGTGGGATGCCATATACCACCTTTACACAATATCTTTTCAGGCCAAAAGAAGAAAAAGAAGTAATGCGAAATTTCACGTACTTTACCTTCCTATATTTGCATCTCAAGCAAATTGCTTGTTGGACGAACATACTAAAGCCCACCAGATATTCCAAAAAACATCCAAGAGCAATCAACGTATCGTAGATATTAAGCAAACGAAAGATCATAAACGTAGTATTCGGAGCACTGATTGAGAGCTCTACGAGAATCAACAAATACAAATTATCAAGAATACGACAGATAAACAACCGACATTGTCATCTATTCCCAAGAGTTTGGAATGGAAATATGATACCACTAGAAATATGACCGTTTGCAAATTGCGCGGAAATGAATCCGTGTCTATACTATCCCATTAGAATCGGAACCTTTCAATCAAATTAGATTATAGATGTACGGAAAAAATACATCAAGCCAATACGCAAGAACTGCCAAATTTGTCAGATTTGTAGAAAAACTGAAAAATGATCACGGGTATCAGACGAAAGGTTAATACATTTTGAAGATAAGAAATACTTTCGTGACATACGTTCAATGTCACTGGTGGTATTAATTTTGGATAATCGTAGTTTCAGTATAGATAAGTCCAAAGTTTCAAAATTTTAATTTTTGAGAAATAATCTAGGGGAAGGTTTCACGATTTGTATATACTATCCAGAGAAATATGTGCAATCATGGAGTTCACTTGCGAACTGGTATCTGTCGAGGAACTTATACGTCGTGCATACTAGGATGTCGATAAATTAAAGGCGAACTTTGACGACGAAATAATATTCCCAGTTGAAAACAAATTGCCCAAATAGCACAAGAAAATGACTTACTAAAAGCCAACATTATGATGGTCAAACTGGTTTGCCCTGAATGAATTATATCATGCTTTTACATTTCTTACATTTCCGAAAAATTCAACAGCTATATGGGATGATCCCCAATAAATAATCTACCGTAGTGGGAAATTAAAATCTAGGACATTAATAAAAATTCAAGTTTAAATACACAGGCCAACGAGACCTAGGAAAAAATAAGAAATTGGAAACTCGAAAAGTTTTGTAATTTTTATATTTTGTTTATTTTTTTAATAAAATTATACATAGAAAGTTTCGTTTTTTTACGGCTAAATATTTACTGAATATTGCTATTAGAATAAATTTTATCCAGGTCTTTTGGTTTTGGAATTTTAGTTCCTTTTTTTACTCATTTACGCGGTTTCCTCTTGCTATTATAGTAACGTTCTAAGTCAATACTATTGTTAATGCGAAGTCCTGCCGGTTAGATGTTTCTTCGTCGTTGTGAAGGGTTTGAGGTGATACTTTTGGTTAGAGTTTAGGTGAAATTTTTATTTACAAAATTTTTTTTTTGTTATAATTCTTCTCAACTAAACTTTTCTATTTTGAAATAGTGTATATCGTGCGTTTTTCGAGTTTATTAAATAATTTACCATGAGATGGAATTAATAATAACGTTGAAGATTGTGAGTATTCGCTGTATTATTCTTTACTTTAACGATTATCTAGCAAATACAATTTTTTTTTCAGTTCGTACCTTTTTTATTAAGGCCCCCTATTACTTCCCTTCCTTTCGTCTCGAGATTTATTCTACTTTTATGCGCACTGGGAATTAAAAAGAAAGTGGTGAGGATACCTAGTACATCTAGGACCATATCTGCTGCCAATGAGTTCCCAGTCTGTCTATTCCCTTATTGGTGTACTTAAACAAATTTCTCTTGAATCTTCACCTTCAAATAAATCTTCATCTTCCATATCTTGATAAGCTTTAAGGATATAAAAAGATAATAAATTTTTTACCTTTCTATGTTCTGACATATTTTTAATACAAAATAAAGAAATTAAATGGTTTAAACTATTTAAACTAACAGCTCGAACAAACAGTTCAAAAAAAATCCATTCAACGATTAATCACGCGATCAACAATCTCAATTATGAATTTTTGATCGCAAATTTAATTTTTGCGATCAAAAATATCGATCGACCAAACCAACTTTGAACTAGCCTATTGTTAATCGTGATCGGCAAAAACGTTGTACTGTATATGTCAAGATAATGGAATTTCCCTTCTTGAAGTATGGTTCGACGAAATCGTTATTCGAGAAAGAATATGAAAAATTAAGTAGTTCGTTTATCAAACATCCAAAAGTTTCGATCTCCTATAATCAATAATTTATAATGCATGTAGCTTTATGTTTAAATTGTGAATAAATATCTCAGAATCGGTCAATATTTGTGCGATCTAGGACAGAATGCAAACACATCGAATAGCATAGAAACGTCATGCTATGATATGGTTTGTGTTTATCTATTTATGCTCTTTTATGACAATTAAGATCACAGTGGGAAGATTTACGAAATAACGCATTCAGAGAGTTACGGAAACTTGTACTATTTTATGCATGTTTGGCAATCATACGCATACATATTACAATCTAGCTAATTTTACTATTCAGTATATACCACAATTTCATGCAATTGCGAACTTTGCGATCCAATCGGAAAATATTATTCCTGGGCCAATTAAAGTTATGGCTGTAGTTGGTTCTATTTTCCGGTCTTAATTAATGCACCTCCAGATACAATTGACATACCGGCTATATAATAAAACAACAATTATTAAATCCTAAGTTCCAAACTAAATCCAATATAATGTTAAAATACTGTATGAAATATATAGTAGCATATGATATTATATTATAATTTTCATTCTTAAGGTTACGTTAGCAACTAACAAACCAATGGTGACACCAGTGACGGCTATGTTGGCCATTAGTTTGATGATAGCACTCTGTTAAAAAAATGGAAGATAATCGAGAATTCGATGAAGCTACAGGTTATTTAAGTGAGTAAATCTCTTAAATGAATATAAACAAAACAAAATAATAAACAAACAAAACATACCCCTAATTTACGATATATCCTAGTTTTTTCTCGAACCGCATCTCGAACCGAAGTTAGGTATTCTAATTTGTCTTCATTGCTAAGCTTGTTGTAAACTAAAAGCGACGACGCGGACAATTTATCATGAATTCTCTGCAAATCATCTGATAAAACTAGAGGTGTTACAGAAGATGCGTTTCCTTCTTATGTAGATGTATCAGAAGTATGGTACCGGTATAATTGTATCGTCAGGTACGGTTGTTAGTAGGCTTTACTAAATTGAAAAACTTAAATATTCCCCAGAACTTACCCATATTGAAATTAAAACAATGAAAAAGAAGTGATTAAGCCACTAAAAATATTTTAAATATTTTATGTGGTAATGGTAACACATGACATAAAAATGATAAATTACGTAACAAGTTTGTATGCTATGGGAGCCTGTGATACGTCGTGATACGTGATACAAGCTTATTAAATTTTTTTTTAACGAATTGTTTTTCATAAATGCTAAAATAAATCACTGATGGTGTTTTTTTCTTGAACGCGATAACCGCGATAACGATCACCGAATTTTCAAGGAAGACAGTTTAATTGGCTAATATTTTGTGTGACAGTTTTGTTGATCAGAAATCATATTGTGTAACCATAAAGTTGTGCACATTACCATATGGTGAAGTTGATCCACGCGTATTTTTCGTGTTTTTAGAATCGTCTTTGTTACAGACTAAAGATAAAATTAATTAGTCACAATCTGAATATGGAGAAATACGTTAAAATAGTGTTAAAATATTGCAAGAAGTGATTAATGACGACTTTACAGCTGTAAAATTTTTTAAGAGAATTGATTGTAAAGAGAATGTTTGCAAGAGGCTTTAAAATTCCTTGCCTCAAAGGATGATGACGAATACGAGTACTCGCGGAAGGCTAGAAGCTTTCTAGGCAACTTTGATAAATACATGGATTCTTACTCTGTAGAGCAATGCTGGAACGGCCTTAAATTACGAGAAGAACGAGATAAAACTCGCACCGATCAACTGATTTTAGAAGAAAAAAAGGTCAGCATTTACATCTTGTATTGTAGGTTATAATTACTAATTTGCTAATTGTGAACCATTTAGAGACAACATTTTTGTGTCATTGATGTCAATGTAATAACCGAGCATAACCAATAAATCAATAGGCTAACTTTGGAATCTTCAGAATCGGTCAGTTGATGGTAACATTGTCCATGATTAATTTTTGGACGTACTTATTTGATATATTATCTAGGACGCATCAGTCATTCGTAATGGAGATGACGAGAGGCGAAGCGTAAAAGATCCAGTAATGTTTTTTTCGGTTTGTTTTTCGTAGGATAATTATATCAATATGTTATGCTGAAAGTGAAGAGGAAGAACATTCATCGGATCTAGACTACACGGAGAATCCCAAAAGAGTAAGTAATTTGATATTTTTTTTTACTGCTTCGCATGATCATAAATGTTTTGACTCTGATTCGAAATCTATCAGGAAACAAGAACCAAGATCAAAACGAACACGTGGAAAAGTGAGCAGTGATAAGGGTATTATCGATCCATCAATAGAAACTTCAGAGGTACCAAGTCCAGAAGATGCTACTACTTCGTATGAAATTACTCCAAGCACATCCCATTGTGCAGAAGAACCTAAAAAGGAAAGTGATTGAGATTATTTTTTTATGTTTTATATTATGCTCATGAATTATTCTATTATTCTTGAATTTAACAAGAATACAATATCAAAACAATATGTCCGTGAAGAGTATTATTCGCGCGAAGGTACACCATGTCCCATAACACATGAAGTCACAAATCCATTGATAATAACACCAAACAAGTAACATACAATCAATACTTTACGCACATAATTTGTGCTTTTGGGTCAACATTGCATCTTGTTGAAGAAACCACTGAAAAGGAATTATATGAAGAAATTGAGAAAATTCTTAAAATGCGAAACAAATCAGTCCTAAATAACTCAATAGGTAAAAAACTTGAAGTAATCTTACAGTCGGATTATTCAGTAATTATTTCAAAGATAATAGCGGAGACAGAAGTTGAAGACGATGAGATAACAGAGGATGCAAGATTCCTTTTTTTCATAAGACACACTCTACTAGACTTTATCGCAATGTTCAAGTTTCTGTCACCTAAGGTTATAAAGTCGGAATATGTCTGAAAGATCATACATTGTTGAATGTCTTTCACCAGTTCTTCGTGCATTTAGGAATTCCTTTCCTGAAATAAAATATGAGTGGATTGAAAAGGACATTAGATCAATAAAAGATGCAAATAACATCTTTTTGAGTAATATGCAACCCCGAAAAAGCGGATTGTTAATTTTGAGGTTATCTGATGCCACTGAAATTTTAGATATTGAAGTCTCTGGACCATTTAATTCTAACAAAAAACACACAGTTGGAAACGCAAAAAAATTACTTCCGATATCTGTTTGTGGTTTGTGTAGAATACTTGCAAATAATTTTGATTGTTCGATTAAGGACGCAAAGGAGTTAGAACATATTGCATTCAAGCAATTCACATTATTTGCTACTTCTCTCATTGATAAAAAGAAATATTTAGCCACAAGCATAATACCTTTTTCATTTGACGCTATCTCATGTTATGCAAGAATCTTTAACTTTTTTGCAGTAATCCGAAAGGAATTTGTTGAGCAAGAAGCAATACAAAAAAAATTCGTTCATTTATTCCTTCAGCTGATAATAATAATGGTGAAGATTTACGGGAATGGATACATCAACCTGATGATGATTTAGCAGTCGTAACTGAAGATGATATGGATGAAATATTTTTGTAAAGAGTGATACTGTAGAATTATGATTAAAATTTCATGTGTTTTTAATATGAAAGGTAAGGTGTTCTTTTTCCTAACGTGAATAAAAAACTTTTAGAATATTGGCGTTAGTATAGAAATTTCGTTATATTGTATTAATAAATAATACAATCTTTTTTTTTTAGCAATCAATATTTGGGATAATTTATATACCTCATTCACTCAATCACTTATGTCCAGATTATATGATGCATCTTCCACCCATCCAAACTTCGAGTTATTTGATAAAAAAACAACAGTGCCATTTCGATCACGTGTGAGACCTGCCGTAACTTTCATGTTAACAATGCCAAGTTAGACTAACTTCTATGCTTAAAAAAAGGGCTGATCATCTAGAAACTTGCCAGCGCCTGGAACTATCCTAGAACTGGCAGGGATCTTATGTGATACAAACTTTATAGTTTAACAGAAAATCGTCCAATCTACATGCATGTGAATATATATATAAATCCTCCAGTCTCCGAATAAAAATGAATCTGATAATTTATTATAATATACTTGTTACAAACTGCTATAAGTCTTTAAAAATTGCTATAAATCAATAAAATCAGTGAAATTGCTATAAACTCTTTACACCTGTAAATGGTTAAAACTAACTACTATTCTGGTTTAAATCCTGTAGTAGTGCAGGCATTAAACATTCTGAAACACCAGAAATGTGGCATTCTCATATTTGTTATCCATTTAAGACACTTCTTAAAAATAACCCAAAATACTTTTTCAAGAATGGATTTATCCATATGACTGAAAAGTTTTATAAAGATAGAGAATTTAAAGCTAAAAGGTGTTCATTTTATATTTATTGCACTGTATGTGACTCCTTAATATCTATTCATAAAAATACTATAGAATGCAAATGATCACCTAAATAAATGTATTGCTAAAAAAAGTGGAAAGAGTATCATCACTTAGTTCTGATGAGGTTAATGGAATTATTCTGTATATCTACAGCATAGCATTTATATGTATAATACAGACCATGAATTTAGATAAAGAATTGCTTATTCCATATTTAACAGTGCAAAAATTATTTAATTGGTTTTAAGAACTTTCAAGTTAAGATTTAAAACATAAGCAAAATAAGTTTAGAATATAGTGAGAAATAATAGTACTTCTGACAAGAAGAAGTATCTTATCCTTATGATCATAAAAATATTTATGATCTATATGTATGATATATTGATCAAAAAATTCTAGCAAAAGATGTAGTTAAAGATTTTCTGAATAGACTATATGATAATCATGTTCCTATATAACTGGAAAGAAAAAAGAAATATTAGTTATAGAAACAATTACATATTATGACATATATAGTTGCTTTTATAAAATTACATCTAAAAGGTTATAAAATCATCAAATGTTTAGATGATTCTTATATGTTAAAATAGCTAATAAATCTTGAATATTACCATATTAATAAATATTATAATAACAGCAACAAAGACTTTGTTAGAAGTTCAGAATATACGCGATATAAGATATGCAAATTACATAGTAAAACAGATATACAGTCGTCCTCCCTTATAGTCACAGGCCTTGGGACCACCAAAAATAGTGATTATAAAGAAGTGTGCTTATATAG